ATGGGCTTGAAAGGTGGTGGGTTAGGAAAAGATGGCGAAGGAATACGAGAGCCTATTGCAGTGAAGGAGCAGTTTAAAAGGGAAGGACTTGGGCTTGATGTAGAAAGGGTGAACAAAATTGCTAAAAGAGATATTGAACAGATCATTCGAAATTATGCACGCTCAGATAGTCATGTTGACTTGACTTTCTCTACAGAACTTACCAATGACGAGCGGAAGCAGATACATCAGATTGCCCAAAAATATGGTCTTAAAAGTAAATCGCATGGGCAGGGCCATGATAGATTTTTGGTGGTAAGCAGAAAGAGACGCAAAGAAGACTTATTAGACCAACTGAAGCAAGAAGGCCAGGTTGGGCATTATGAACTTATCATGCCTCAAACTAATTGAGCTTAATGGTGTCCAATGAATGCATAAGGAGACTGCGTTTCCTAGATCCCTAATTAAAGATACAGATACTGCATTTTCTTCTTGTGGGATATATTATGTTTTACTTTGCTCATTTAATTTCTAAAACTTACTAGAAAAAGAACTTACAAAGCTCTGGCCAATTGTTTTAGCACAACCCAGCAGCCAATAGTGCAGTTATTCTGTGTGTCTTTGATATTACTTGGTCCTTCACATTTTAATAGTTTTGTAATAGCAAAAACACATGTCCAACAACAAAAAACGACACCATTTAAAATTATAGATCCCTTATTCTTTTTGCTCCAGGAAAGAAATTTTGCCTTTAAAAAAAAAAGAGGAAATGCAGTTCAGAGGAAAAAATATGTAAAGTTGGTATTAATTACAATAAAAATACAGTTTTATTTCCAGCAAAACAGGATTTGACCCATTTTGTATGTATCTTAAATGCTGTGTGAAACCTCAATTCTAGAAGAGTTAGCAAACTAAAATGCCTCTACCTTGTGTGTCTGTGTGTGGTTATATGGAGAAAAATCTTAATACAATTTTCTTTATAACTAGTGTTCCAGTTTATTCATAAATTTCTGCCATACTGCACCCTAATCAACTTCGTATTAAGTTTAAATTAATGCTGGAAGGATTTTTACCTAGAAGTACTGCTCAACGTGCAAATACCATGGTGGGAAGTAAAGACCTATTTTACTTTGTCTAGGAGCTCTTAACCTTGAGCAAAATCAAATTGTGCTTCATTATTTCTATCCACTACATTTAATGTAGCTGTATTTGCATATGTCAAGGAGATTCACAAGTAAAAGTCTTGTGCTACTCCAACATGTGGTTTGAATATGGAGTGTCTCCAGGACTGACCCGACTAGAACAGTTCTCTTTGCCTGAAGAACAAATAGTTATTGGCTGCTGCAAGACATCATTTTGGGGATGTATCCTTCCACCATTGCTGAACTTTTGGGAACCTTCCACAAACCAGTCCCTGAGCCATGCCTTGTAAAGACAGATTAAAAATCAAGAGGCAAGTGTAAATTTTCCTATAGGTGCTGCTTGTTCAGATGGCAATTACAGGGTCAACTCACTTAGCCAGCTATGATAGATATTCCTCAGTATTCCATCTCCTGTCTGTCCCTGTGCTTCAGTTTATCATTCCTGCCTCCCATATCTGCCTCTCCATCTGTTTACATTGCCCTCTAGGTCAGTCCATCCTCCTGTGTTGCCTTTTATGCCCTTGGCTTTGAGGAGAGGGGGAGTGACCCCAACTGGCACTGCAGACGATCCTGATGGCACAGGCGGTTTGAATCCCACGGGTGTGAAAATAAGAGGCTCATCTTGAACTCGTTACAGGTGAGTAGCATTCACTTAGGAATGAACAGATGCCCTGTGCCATGCTTATTTTCATTAGACTTCCTCAGCCCATCTTCCTGGGCCTCTAGCTAGGCTTCCACAAACGGAGGAATAGTTACTTGGCAGAGATTCTGCCAATGTGAGCTCTTCAGATTTATGATACTTACCCACTTTCTTCTCTCTCTCTCTCTGAATTCTACTCTCAAGGACTCAAGATTTTGGTACAGAGTGCAGATTTTTCTGGAGAGCAGAGGTTAGGCATCTTACATTTGCCCAGGATTTACTTCATTGTGGAAAACAGTGGCAACTATTTAGGCCTTCCCCTACCACACTTTTTCCCTTTCTGGTCCCCTAGTAATTTAAATTAGAAAGCAGTGAGCTTCCCTATCAACACATTTTAAAGCTCTGCATTATCTTTAATTTATTGTCAATGCCATGGGCAAGCTTACGGCTTGTGCACATAAAATACTGCTGTTCAAATGAATATGCTATACTATTTCCTCCACAGACACTAGCCAAGAAGTCTTAGTCAACCCCCAGAAGACAGAATTACTGGGTAGCTTAATTATGTAGATTTTTTACAAAGTAATTACATTGATCAGGCCTGTCTGTATCAGGGAGATCTAGCTAGATACTATTACCAAGGATCAAAATGTGAATTAAAAATGTATTTGTCAAGAGGTGTGGTCTTATTCCTTACACTGGAGCATAACCCAAGACAGGTGGTGGTGGGAGAGCCCACCTGTCAATTACCAAAGCCATGTTTTCATGGGAGGGAAAAGTGTGAGGTCATGGCAGGAAAGAGGTGGAGTTTGGGGGATGGTAATAGGCCCCCTCCAGGAAAGGCTTGAACTTTAATCTGGTGTTACAAAATGGACTTGCTTTTCCTTGTGCATAAAGCACCACAATAAAATAGATGTTAGTAGTTTAGGGTAGCCTGCTTTTACTCAAGCTAGTTAAAGACAGGTCAGCTAACAGTCTAAACTATGTGGTGGTACTGACCTATTTAAGTAATAGCCAGTGGCCATGTAGGACTCTTTCCACAGAGAAGCCACAGACATGGTTTCAAGTTCAAGTGCTAAAGCACTGTAAATACAGATAAGCCCCTTTAACTCTTGCTTACAATGTAGGCCCTGATGCTACTCTGACCTATACTTGAAGCTTATGTAATCAAATTTACAAGAGGAGGTAGCTGTATATTTTGTGAATACAGTAGGAAGGCCTAGAGACATTGTTGAAAGTTTCTTTCATCCATAAAAAAATCAACTGAAGTTAGTCCATAAGCACAGCCCCAGGCCAGCCACTGCATAAATAGTTGCTTCTCATTCAGTACATGAATTATGGGACAGTAGTAGCATGAAGCACAGCTATGTGCTTGGTATTAACTAAATAATAGCCCTAGAGTGCTGTTTTGTTGTTTAAAGATGCTGGGACCCAATAAGAGTTGGATACTACCTTTGTAAAAGACACTTGTGGATCTTGTGCCTATTTGTACAATAAGGATATAAGGTTACACTTTTATTTACAAGTTTTGAAAAAAATGTACAGTTTCTTACATGGGTTACTTGTGCAAAGTTATACTTCAACAGACCAATGTGCACATAAGACACTGGGACAGTGGACACCACAGTTATAGGTCTCATTCCCCACTGCTGTTTAAAAAGTTACTGCTTCCAAAAATGTATAAACTTAGTCTTGGCAAGAGATATTGCGTTTGGACTTCTTTCCAAACTTGGAAGGATCATTTCCATCCAATTTCATGAAAGTAAAACAAACAGGTAGCTGTTGCATGCACACACCCACCCAATATCCCCCAGTAATTTACAAATAGCAAGAACAGCACAGGCTCAAGTGTCCCATCTTACAAATCTTAACTCACTTTCCAAAATAGAAGTTGTATTCAGGAGATGTTTTAACTGTTGCAGTTGCTAAAGGGAATCAAGTATTAATGAACATGATCCCAGCTTTGAAGTAGTTTTCCTACCTCAGTTTCCCCCCCCCCCCACTCAAAATAGAGTTCAAAGTCTTAAGTACAACAGCTCAGCCTGGGTCTATCTAGTCAGTACCTCATTGATAAGACTACAGCAACCTATTTTTCATCAATATCAAAGGCATTTTTTAAAATCCTATTTTTGTAAATAAAAAGGAGGTTATTAGCATATCACCCTAACTAGTCTGAAGTCCCATAATAGTAATCATATGCCAACTTGCATTTGAAATAAAGTACCCAGCACCCCTTCCCCCATGTTTTCAGATTAGTTAGAGTGGAATAAGGTGGGTTTGTATTTATAAACACAACACCCCTGTAAAATGGGAAAATTAACTTTTCATGCAGTACTTACAAATGCAGTGGGGTCTAAAACCAACAGTAGAGGCAAGTGACCAGCCTGGACAGATCAGCACTCTAGTAATATCACTTAAAAATGTATATACGTATATAAACATCCCTTTTATCAAGCTACACATAAGCGTCACTGTGTATAACACAATTACAATTAAAAGCTTAGTGTACACTACAGAAATGCACAATACTGCCCTAAGACTGGAGAAGAGGGACCACAGAAAATGATTTCAGCATCAGTAATTCTTTTGCAAGTAACCCAAGTACAGTACATTTGACTTCAAAATGGGTGCTTTCTGATGTCCAAGGAAGGGAAGCTTCAGCAAGGGAGGGTGGCAACAGCACAACAGCTATTTTGCTCTCAAAGTAAATGCAACGATGCTAGGAGGAAGATGACTCAGACACTTCATATATATTTTCCTCATCACCAGAGTGTTCATTTGCATCATCCAGGGTCAACAATCACGCCAACTCTGTTCTACTATTGCAGAAACCCGTTTTTCATATTCCCGCTTATTCTCTTGGTATAGCTGAGCTGCCTGGCTGTTTGCTGGACTGTTGGGATTCGGCTCATCCAACAGAGACTGTTAAGACAAAAAATCCTGTCAGTTTTAGATACAATACTTAAGTTTTTTTGACTAATTCAAAAAAGTTTCAGGTGTTGCTCCCACACACTGTACTTAAGCAATACAACCCACCAGGTACTGCAAAATATTCTGAGTTATTGGCTATAGTCACATATTTATTTAACATGAGATGTTTGAAATATGTAACCACTGTTTTGATATAGCACTATTCCCATTATAGGTTCTGAATTCTAAAAGCTCTCTTCTGATTTTATTTTTACTAGTCTAAAAGAATACATTTTCCAATTAAATCAAAATAAACAGACGCCTAATGTAAGACCTGATGAACATAACTGACATTGAGTACATATCTCTCACCACCTCCCATACAAAAAGACTCAGTAATTGATTAGAATCATTAAACAAAGTCTGCTTCTTAAAGCAGAATGACAACATTTTGTGGTAGACACTTTATACTTGGCAAAAATCTAGTCCTGTGCTATTATGTGAAATGTCACAGCAACTTCGCAAGCAAGTATAGGCTTACAACAAACAGGAATGTCATTTTACCTGTATGGATGTTAAGATGGAGGACACATCGTAGGTTGGACTCCAACGATTCTGAAGAATATCCAGACATATACTACCATCTGCGTAAACTAGAACAGGGGTTTAAAAGAATGGTAGCAAGGTAAGAGCGACAATATTGAGGATAGCCAGAAGCCTACATAATGAAACATTAGGACAACTTAATGATCGTCACAGCCTTACAACTGTGATCAGACCCCCCCCCCACCCCCAAAAAAAAGAGGCGGCTCAATAAGTCAGACTTTTTTTCCCCCTCATGTTGCTAAGGAGAGTGGCCAAGAAATTGTATTCTTTTTAGACTCCTCATGCTTATTCCTTGCTCCTTAATACTTACTCCTTTGTGACCTCAATTAGAGAGAATGAAGTTTCTACCATGCTACTTCAAGCAAGGATTAAGTAGCAGGAAGAAGTTTACTTTGAAGCAATAATTGTTTTCATGCAGTTCACTAACAAGGAAAAATACAAAAAAAATTGTTTGAAGGGGTCTTTCCACTCACTAATTTAAGGAACTCACCCCACCCCTAGTTTGTGCATTTGATTCATATGGTGAACAACTAAACATTAAGGTTTTATGGTAGGTGTATTTTTATTCATGTACCCAGCAAGCATTTAATGAAAAGCCTTTGAAAGTAAAAGCATTTACAGGCTACAATTCCATATTAACAGTAGCTACAGCTGGAAGCGTAGTAGAGATTAAGAAATGTGATATACCAAAACATGCCAACTTTAAAAAAGTTGATTGTACAAGACATTTCTGAATGCAGTGAAGAGCAGTGGATGGGGGAGGGGAGTAGAGACTACACAAAATACTGTAAGAACACAATCTGATATAAATCACTATGCTTCAGTTCAGTACCATAGACAAAGACCTTGAGAAGTGTAGATTTCATAGAAGAGGGAAAACAAAGTTAAATTAAGCTTAGTTTACATTTGTCACTTAAGAGTACTGTTAAGCTATAAATTTTAACATATGTACAAAGATTTTTTTGCATGTGGCCAAAGAGGATCCCACTCTGAGATTTGTATTAAATGAAAACTTATGTAGCAGAGTCATAAAATGGAATGCTGCAGTGCTTTTGGTGCTGGTACTCCAAGGGAAAAGTTGAGCTCTGACTGGAGGTGTCAGAACTGCATCTGGAGATGCTGCTACTGCATACAAGGCAGTAATGTCACCAAAAAAAGCACACTGAAATGCTGTGTAAAACAGAAGTGCTTGAGGTAACAAGAACAGTGTTCACATAAGATTGTTTGTTCTGGTTAAATGAATTAACCAGACTCTGTAAAATGGACCACAATTCTCTTTCTTCCCCACCTCTCAGCATGGAAGGCCTCTGTCCTCAGCCTGAGGAATTCTGAGCAAAAGATGTTTAACCAGAAATATAGCAGCCAAACATGTGAGCCTAAAGGATTCACATCAACACTGCTCCATAGGAGTTGTGAATGAATGGAGTCCTTCCCCCCCAGTGTCTGAGTGCAACTCAAGACACATCCAAGTCCCTGCTCCCTCCTATACCAGTATAAGAGCTAGATCACTTGTTACACAGAACCAAAGAGGTTTATAAAAATACTACATTGTCTAATCAGCAATCAATCTTTACTCCAATAAGCCGCAAACCACATGATTGCATCTGATGAGTACTTACCATTTGGATGAAACATTTTAGAGACAAATCTAACAGTGGGTGGTTTATTTGGATATTCTTCTGTGAATTCTATTGTAAGTTTGAATGTTCCTGGAGTTGAAAGAGAAAGTTATAAATAATTTTGTTCAGGGACATTCATACAGTTCACAAGGGATGGGCAAGTATCCTCCATTTATATGTGAGGCATAGAGAGGTCCAATGGATTATTCCATTGTAAACACAAAGTTGAAAATCGAATCCAAGCTGTTCAAGTCCATTTTTCTGCTCTAAAATCCTAGACGATGTTCCACTTTGAGCCATCGCTCCCAGTAAGAGTAATAGTCACCACTAGACTCCTTATGCAGAACTGTCCTATTCAGAAATGTTAGGAGAGGAAATAAGTCCATCTACAGTATCTTTCCAGTGATCCCATTCTCTTTATTGTACCTCTTAAGCATCTGGATGCATGAAAAACAGCTGTTCTGCAAGTCTAGAAGAATACACTTCCATCAAAAGCAGATTTCTAGTGTTCTATTCCCAACAATACATAATTAAACTTTGTTTTGAAACCTGAGGCTTGTACTAAAATTTCAAAATTAAATCCTTTGAGCCCAAATATTTCAACTACCTTAACAGCTTCTCCTCACAGAAATTTAGGAGGAGAACTAAAATAGCCTGGGAAAATAAGTCAGTCATCTAAGCTGTGGACAGAGTCCCACATACTGATTGCTAGCTAAAATTTAAATGGGACTGACTGAGCAAAGAACCCTAGAAATCTCAACTGCTTGCAAGTAAATACATTGAGTCTTTTTACTGTTTTCCTAGCACTGTCCTTGATCTACCAGTCAAAAAAGCAAGACATTATGTAATATACAATAAGGATGTTAAATTCTGATCAATGAGCTAATCGACTAGCCAATGGACTTTCCATCAACTACTCAATTAGTCGATACGGAGAGGGGGCGCACTCGCTATTCTGCTGCATCTCTCCCTTTGAAAGGCACAGAAGCCTCCTGCAGCTCTCTTATATTTGAGGGAGAAAGATGCAGGGGGTACCTGCACCAGCAGGGACCAAAGCAGTGCCCGCTGGCACAGGTTCCCCTGTGCCTCTTCCTTTGAGATGTACAGTGGTGGCTCTTGTACCTTTCAAAGAGAGAGGAGCAGCAGTCAGACTGGCAGGAGTGGTACTGTTGCAATTCCCACTTGTGCTGTTTCCTTACTGCCCTCTGCCCCCCCAGGGAGATGGTGCTGGGGGAAGGAACTGCCTTTTAAGCCGGGCCCCCAATACTGGCTCAAGAGGCGGGAGGGAGGGAAGGGAGTGCAACTGGTCAAGTTCCTACTCAAGTACCTGATGAGCATTTGCTTATCGGATAGTTGACTAGTCGCTTACATCCCTAGTATACAAAGATCTTAAAAGCCAAAAACATATGAAGCTTAAAAATATTCTTTACAAATCAAGTGTCCTGTAGCAGATATATCCTTGTACCATCCACTAGTGTCCACTTAGCATATACAACCAGTTGCAATGATTAAAGAAAACTGACTGCAATTTTTACTTTACTTTGTCATTGATCTGTGGAGAAGAAAATCTAACTGTCTTGGAGAGCTTAAAAAAATGAAATATCTTGAATATAAGAATTCATGTCTCTGAATACAAGTTATGCTATTGTTAGCAAATACCATTTAAAGACATATTTAATACTAACAGGGAAGAGTGTTTTTAGCTAAACATTAGCTGGTCTAGAAATCTTTAAACCTTTCCTGGTGGAAAGCATCAAAGGAGAGCTAAGGAGTATTGTGTCAGTTACATACTTTTAGTCTTTAAGGTGCTGCTAGACTATTTGTTGTTTAAGTTTTTCCAGTTACAGACTAATTCAGCTATCCCTCTGAAACCTTTACCTTCTGTTAGAGGTCAGCATGACCAACATGGTAGGATGCCTGTAATTTCAAAGGAACAACCGGAACTCCAAAACAAGTATTATTTGTGTTTTTAACATGCAGGTTGCAAGTATACAGAAACCTGAACACCTTGAAGTGATGGAGAGCTTAATTTCCTAATTTCTATACAAAAACTGGCTATATAAAAATCATTATTATTCCAATCCCATTTATGAAAACATTGGAGTTCAGATAATATTAATATGGCACACCTGTTAATCTTTTATATTGTATTATGCATGTATTTTTTTATTTATGGCATTCATATACATTTACAATCATTGGGAGTCTATACCCCTGCTCCTGCCCTCAAATTAAGGAAGAGAGGTCACAGATCCAGTACTAAGAGATCAACTTGAAAAGTTTGACATGCCATTAGGGAATCAATCCCAACAACCACCCTCTCTAGCTATATAGATGTATTGTACACATCCTAGGAAAAGTAGTAAGGCAGTCTCATTTGTGTCCACAAACAGAAGACAGACCCTTGGTAAATGGCAATATTAAACAAACAATAATATAGTAGTGTTCCATTCTTCATATTCTTGATTTAAGACAGAGAATCAAGCCGGGTTGCCACAAGCAACACTGCTTATAGACTGTTTGAGCAATGAAAAGATCACTCAAAGTGGATAAGCATCTGACTGAAAACTTAGCACAAGCTCTCTCAAAATTATGTTTTTATGACAGGCATTAAGAGGGTCTCAGAGTGCACCTAAAAGACCTTAGAATTATTCTAGAATAATGGCTAGAATGTTAAGAAGAGTGGAGAAGTCAATCTTCCAAGAAGAAATTATATCAAAATCCATTTTAAACAGACCCTAACGACAGGCTGAGGAAGGAGGACACCTTGATGGACTGCTTAATAGTGAATTTAGTTGTCTGGTCTTCGAGTTTCTCAAACAGTTCTGTAGTAAGTCAAAACCCCACTTTTTCAGTTATTGTGGGCCTCTCTGCACTCATTTTGCCATGGTTCTGCTTGAAAAGATTTTTATAGCTTCTCAACAAAAGTCTCATTGTTTGGCCTCACTACAGATATTACCACTCTAAAGTGTTAATCAATAGGTGACTGCAAGTCACCTATTTAAAGACTACATGAACAAGGTTCTGCAGACCATATTTTGAGTGATAAAGGTGAGAAAAATAGGAAAAAATTAAGATGGTAAATAACTCATGCAACAGTCCTAAAGACTTGGTAAGGCAAGTGCTTCCTCTTTCAAGGACCAAGAACAATCTTTTGAGGCAAGCAATGGATGGTGCATTGCCTAAGAGGAGACTACTTTCACATGACTCAAGTTCGGAGTGGCTAAGTCAGCCACACTAATGAGCAGTGCAGACTACCGCTAAAAAATTGTTCTCTTATTAGAAACATTTCCCAACATGACAGGAGAACAACAAAAAGAGACCTATAAGGTTAAGTCCATCTCACATTAGCCACCAAAGACCTTGAAGTCGGGTATCCAGAGAAGGGTCTCACCCAAAAGTATGTGAATACAGAAAGGGTGCAGGCAGGACAACATATCATTTAAGTGAAATTCTCACCATGTTGAATGAGATCTGAGATTCTTGGAGCACTAATTTAACCCACTAAGTACCAAATTCTATAGGGTTAGTCATTAACCCCAAATTTCTTACTCTGCCAGACAAAAGCTTTTTAATATGGGATTTCAAAGCCCTATAATCAAGCTCAGAGAAAATGGCCGTGGAGACACTGAAATATCTTTGATTAGTTTATGAACAGCTGCAAGCAAACACAAAGTTATTAAATTATGCAGGGCAGGCAGAAGAGAAATTCAGATACTTCATATTAGTAAGCTAGTCTACATGGGCCTGCTTCCACACTTAAAAAAAATTTCAAAACACAAATAGGTCATCCTGGCTTCTTAAAGGTCATTTAACTGGAGACCACGTCTATAAAATTTCCTCATGACAGGACACAAAAGTTGACGGAGAGCAGCTTAAGTTTGAACAGAGTGAAGTGGCCTGATTCTGAGTGTCCATTCCTGGCCAGAGACTGATGATATGTGCAGTACAGTTAAAAACTGTACCCTTCTGAACAGTATAATATTCAAGATGTACAACAGATGAACCATCTGTTCCTCCTAAGCATGGTCCAAGATTTTTCCTGCAAGGTTCCAGCACAAAATTAAACACTTCCTCTCCTTGGGAAAAGGATGTCTCTGGCCAAACAGTTTTCCTCTGCTCTTACCAGAGTCCGTAGTTTAGATGTGAAAGATCCACCTTTAGTGTCCACCACTGGAGAAAGTTCTAATGTATATGTACTCCATGACCCAGACACTAATTGTGAGACTATCACAAAAAGAGCCTCCTCTCTCTTCCCTTTTCTGACAAGCAAAGGGAATTTAATAACATCTGTAGGTATGGAAGCAGGCACGGTCCTGGAAACAGGAAGCCCAGAACAAGGCTTTTTGTCAATGATTATAGCATGTGCTAAGAACACAAATTATGCCCCAGCCTCTTTATGGATAATAGGAGTAAAATCCTGCTTTTACTGAAGTCAACAGCAAAATCTTCACTGACTTCAATGGAAGCAGTACTTCATTCTGGGTCTCTTGTAGCACTTCAATATATTAAGTATAGCATTCTTGATAACAAGTGTGCAACAGTTGTAGTTTGGGAAACAATGCATTCCCTGGATGAGAAATCCTCAGAGTACTCTGTCTACTAGTCAGAGAGGCTCCCAGGTACCCACAGGTTTAAAAAAAAAAAAAAAGTCCTACGAGGTATGACATGAAGCCTGCATTTGAGGCAGTGTATCAGAACTCAGACTAGTTGTGGTTGTAAGATCAGAGACTCAAAGTCCTGTACTAGTTGTTAATAAGCAATTCCATAATGTCACTTACTGAAAGTTGAGATGTTACAGAACCTAGTCTGACAGGTTTGCTATTCTGCTCCACATCAAGGGGAGTTGACAAATTTAGTGACATCTATACACTTCAAAATACCTGTTTAGGATCCATTAAGAATATGTATTACCAGACCATATATAAACAAAGGGATTTTATTTTTCCCATTCCAAGTTTCATAATGTTGTTTAGAAAATAGAAGGTGATGGGTCCTAAAAGGAACACAAAAAGACATCCCAGACGATTAGATCAGAGATGGGGCCCTTCAGAAGAGGAGTTAAGAACTGTCTTAATAAAACACTAGTCACTCAGAGACTACAAGACCTGAGGAAAATTAATAACCTTGATGTTTGAGCGCCAACAGTTGCTGAGGTATTCCTAAGCTTACCTTTATGCCAACCAAAGCAAAAACGTAGAGACTGCTGTGATACCTAAAGAAGCATCACTGTCTGCAGCTGGTAAAAAAAAGGTGCTGGAATGAGCCACCAGACCTTCAACAGTCCAGTATTACTGAAGAAAGCATTCTTGGAGTCAAGTCAGACTAGGTGTAAGAAACTAAATACCAGTATGCTAACCTTAGCAAGAAGCTGAATACAATATAAAGGCATCACTAAGCTACCCTAGTAGTACCTGGAGAAATCAGGACCAAACATCCAAGTTATACTAGAAGGTGCTGTAGAAAGTAAATATATTCTGCTCTAAGACATTAAAAAAAGTAGTTGCCATAGGCTATGTTAAACAAAAATTAGCAAAGATGTTGTTACTCTTCTCTCAGATATGAGATGGGAATTCAAGTAGGGCCTAGGGATGTTTAACTGGTTAAACATTACATGTAACTGGTTAACTGCTTAAATAGGGGCAGCCAGGCCAGAGCAACCCCTGCTGGTCAACTATAACCAGTGGCATCACACATCAAGGGTGATGCTACTAGTTAACCATTCACATCCCTATCCCTAGTAGGTACCAGCATCAGAGTACCTTTCCTAGGACAGCTGATCGAAAGAACAATCCAGCAGGCACCAAGGTAGAGACAGTGAATGAGTACCAATCCCAAATGATGACAGAACCCACTCAGTCACTGGTCTAGAGCTAAGCACAATTCCAATACGAAAAGCCACAGCTGACATTAACTTGCCAATAGTTAAAGCTTAAAAAAAAATACAGGAGAGAGAAACCCACAGATATTAGAAGCAGTACCCCACCCCACAAATCTGGTCCTCTGAGCAGTTCTGATAACATTGGCATACCAAGGCTGCAAAAGGGAGTTCATTTGACTTTAAACAGTTTCATAAATTGAGAGGCAATCCCTCCCACCAAGCACTGCAGCAGAAAAATAGGAGGAAAAAAAATACCCAGCCTATGGCACGATATAAGCTGGAGCTGTAATAATTAAAACAGATACCTACTGCGGTGAGCTTCTTAAGGATAAAAAGGAAGTAGCTGAAATAGTCTTGGGCCTGAGGTATTGGAAGTTAAAGCAGGCTCAGTAAAGTAAAGCTTTGATCCAGCCTGAAAAGGGCTCCTCAGAGAGTCAGAGGCATTAAGATCTCTAGTTTGCACAGGCCTTCTACAGGAGACCTAAGTATAATTAGAGTCCTGCACTGATGCTGCTGTTAGAATGTACCATGGTTTTCAGTTTATTGGCTTTGCCTATTTGACACTGGAAACTCTCTAGATGAGAAATGCTATGTGTGCTGCTCTTTAAAAGTGTTTTCACTTCACTGACACTGTATGAGAGATAATAAAGCCTCAGAAATTGGCATAGATTTTTAGGTTAGCTCAAACAATAAAATTTCAAGTTGGCATCTTTTTAAGATAAATAAATAAAGGAAATTCAATGTCAAGGTCAGAGTAGCCATTTGTAAATAGAGATTAGCATTTGCATATAATGGGATGTAAAGATCATATCCCATACTAAAGGCACTGTGATAGAAGACTAGTGGAACGCTGTCCTGACATACTAGTTTAAATTTTCCTAACACTTTAAAAGCATTGGATGACATCCATTCCCTTTTGTTTAATACCTTGGTTGACCATTTACACTTCAAGCATGAAAGTTACCTGAAAAAATAACTCAGGGTTATGATAAAAAGGGTAATAGATTCTAACAGTGGCATGATTAGATTAAGGACAAATCACAGCTAAAGACTACATGCTGATCTGCATTTATTTTTGTGCAGTGAGATGGTAATCAGATTCCAAATTCACAAAAAAGTTAAGACTTTCTTAATAAGGGAGGGGAAGGAAAGAATGTTCCAAGGGCCAATGAAGAAACAAAGTTAAAAATCAATTTTAAGGGCAAAGTTCTGCTCTAATGTTATGTTCTCCTGACTTACACAGAATTCTCATTAGGAGAGCAAAATATCTAGTCTAAAAAACTGTTGCGAAGACCAAGCAGAGTAACATTTTGAGATTGTGTGTGGGGGGAGGGGGGGAAGAGGCACACACACTTAACTATACTTACCATCTTCAAATGGGGTCCCCTCAGGTCTGGAAAAAAAAAACCAGTCATTACATCCAACAAACCTTTATTTCAGACCCACCACAGAAACAGGATTTAAAACAAACTTTAGAGAAGAGTGCCCTGTGTGGGTGCTCTGTTTCTAAATCTGTAACCAGGAAAGAGGGGAAGGATATGTAATAGGTGCAAGGCTTTTCAATCCTATGGAAGAGAAGTGGACCTGGATCCTCCCAATCTGTATTCCCCAAGAGAGCAGAGACTGAAATGGGGGGGGAAAGAGGAGTGTATGCACGCATGTTTAGGAAGAAGCTCTTACGGCTACTACTAGGGAGGGCATCAAAGGCCCCAACTTAACATTCAAAAGGCAGGAGGGAAGCTCCCATGGCTGTGCACGGAGGCTGCCCTGACATTCGCAGGGCCCAGTCACTAGAAGCCCCTTTTGGAGCCCAGTGCCCCGCGCGGACCAGGGGGAAAACCGGGGGAGCTGTCGGTCATGTCTCCCCGCCGCTGGCTCGGCCCCATCCCCACGCCTCCTGCCCGGTGTGCGAGCCCCTCTACACCGCGCCGCGCTCCCCTGCCCCGCCTCACCCGAAGATGACCGCGTTCCACACCATGATGTTGTTCTCCGAAGGGGCCCCGCTCACCCCGGCCGGGGGATCCTCCTGCAACCTGCGGGACAGAGACACACCAGCTGTGGCCAGCCCAGCACGAGCTCCGCCCTCCGCGCAGGCAGCGAGTAGCTCCCCTCCCCCCACCGCTGCGCAACCAGCGTAACCCGGCGGGCCGCTCCACCGCCAGGAGCAAACCGCGTAACCCGCAGTCAGACAGCGTGGCCCTGCGTTACGCAACTAGCGTAGCGCTCCCTACCTCGCCGCCATGTTAGGCCGCCCCCTCCTTTCCGGGGAGAGGCGCGGGCCCCTCAGCCACCGGGCTCGTTACCTCTTGAAGTCCCGCATGAGGCGCCTCCGGGCCGGAGTGGACATGGCGGACGCGAGGTTACAAGTCACTCATACACTAGCCCGAGGAGGGAGAGACGGACGAGGCGCCCGGACACACCGCGGCAACAGCGGCTGGATCCGACTGAGGCGGCGGAGGCTGCCGACAAGCGAAACCGGCATCTACCACTGTGCCGGGGACGCGGGGGGGAAGGCTGAGGCAACACCTACGACCTACTGCTGCGTCTGTGCTGCCGGGCGAGACCACTGCCGCGGAACAGGGAGGAGCCGGATGCAGCTGAGCCAAATCAGAATCTACCACCACGGCGGCGGAGGGGGAGCAAGTTGGTGTCTTAGGAACCAGGACCGTACCACTGACAGGCAGTGGTAGGGGAGCAGGAAGTGCGGGGAAGTGGGGAATCTCATACTCTCCCTTCGCTTACTGTCTCTCTGTCCTAGTGTGAGCCTCCCAGGGGAGGGGGCGGGGGAGAAGCCGGGCGGGGGGAGCTCTGACGGTTGGGTGGGGAATAGGGCAATGGGATTGTTTGATTAGTGGGAGGAAGAAGCAAAGGGGGGTTTCTAGTGCTGGGGGCACAAACACCGCCTAGGGGTCCTAATTTGAGGAGGGCGAAAATCTGCAGGAGTTAAGAAAAGGGGGCTACTTGACCTTCCTACATGGCCAAGCTTTCTATCCTTGTGAACGAGTGGTCCTGTGGCACCTTAGAGCAGGGCTACTCAACTCTGGAAGCTCTGGGGGCCACAATGATACAGCACATGCCGAGGGCCACAATTTAAGTGTGCTTGCATATACATGCAAATAGCTTCTTTCACGGTGATGTACATGAATACAAATATTAAGACTACACAACATGCAGGCCCTATTTAAATCAGTTCTGCTGATATGAATGAAATGCAATATTTACCCAATTTCCTTCCATATGACAGCACTTTTAATGAGCAATGACAGTCCAGGAATTTAACCTCTAAAACACATAACAACAGAAGACTACATTTTTGTTTTGGCTCTTCGCTGCGTGTTGAGGCCCATGTAAATCCAAACTGCACCATCAGGGTTCTATGTGTGGCCCATGAAAAATTTTGTTTACCGTTGCCTACACACAGGATTGCCACATTCCCCTAGTTTCCTCCGTGTTCCTACCCGTATTACTAAAGTGACATGCACATACAGCTAGGGCATGTGAGGTGAAGTGCATGCTGATTGCATACAAGATTGACTGTAAGAGCTGTGTGCTCTCTCCGCATCCAATCAAAGCCCTGTTACAGTTCACTCAGCACACTCCGCAAATTTTAGGTATGCAAGCCCTGTTATCAAAACTATCCTGGAAGTCTGTCTTGGTTATAATAATCTTGCAGCCCACTGAGATGAAGGAGGGCTTGGGCCACTCATGCAGCCCACTCAGTAGCCTAGGTTGCCCACTGCTGCTGTAAGATGTAGTGCTGGGCAGCTGAAAGGAAAGCCAAGTGATTGATGTTGTCCTTGGTAACACGTTGCAACCTTTGCATGTGAAGTAAGGTCGTTGTTTGTTGCTAGTATTTCTTTGAAACCAGCATCCCATTAATTATTTTTCTCACAGATAAATTGCGCTCTATGCATTTTAATAATTAATTTGTACGTTCTTGTCTTCTTGGGGTTTTGACAGAAAAGTTTGTATCTAGGAAACACTCATTTCTCTGTGTTGGTTCCTCATGCTTTGTGGTCACTTGTCTGCCATTTGCCATCACTAATTATTTTTTCTCTTTTATTCTTTTTTCCTTTATGTCTGTTACAGTGCAACACCCAGGAAACACTAACATTCCTCTAACAACTTATTTCCCTCAATATACATACTACCAACAGCACTACCACCAGGAAGCTCCTGTCCTTGGAGCCACAACTATTCCTTGTCAAGATAAACACTGGGAATCACTTCAGTTCAGCATCAGGACTGCCTGCAAACCAGACATAATGGGGCAGTTATGTAGTGATCCATCCCATCTTCCACTGACAGCTTTTGGTGTCCACTGTAAGTTTCTGCTAGTTACTCTTGTTTCTTCTCAGAGAAGGGTGCTCCATATGGCGTGTGACATTCATAGATTCCCAGGACAAAGGGGATGTAATCATCTAGTCTGACCTCTTGTATAATATATAGGCTATAGAACTTCCCCAAAGTAATTCCTAGAACAGAGCTTATAAAAAAATCAAATCATGATTTAAAAGTTATCTGTGATGGAGACTCCACCATGACTATTGCTTCCCAACTGAAATAGGAGCCCCTTAACATTTCCTCTTGGGATTGGCTGAGTAGAATTTCCTAAAACAATCAGATTCCTCCTGCCTCTTGGAACAGCGCTTCAGGAGTGCAACATTCTGATGTCAGTCCATGTGCCACAGTCTATTTATCACTGAACCTTCTGACCCCAACATTCCATCCTTCACAAGGAGGAAGGCGAAAATTTGTTCCTCTTGGTTTCTGAGGACAGGACAAGGAGTAATGGGCTTAAAGTGCAGCAGGGGAGGTTTAGATTGGACATTAGGAAAAAATTCCTAACTGTCAGGGTGGTCAAATATTGGAATAAATTGCCAAGGGAGGTGGTGGAATCTCCCTCTCTGGAGATATTTAAGAACAGGTTAGATAGACATCTGTCAGGGAGGGTGTAGACGGAGCTTGATCCTGCCTTGAGGGCGGGGGGCTGGACTCAATGACCTCTCGAGGTCCCTTCCAGTCCTATTATTCTATGATCCCTTCTGTTAAGAGGGTAATAACACCTGCTTAAGGAGGAAGGTACTGAAGGAGTTCTTACTTATGGGGCACAAGGAGATTTTATCCTGCTTATGGGGTATCAGACTTCTTAACTGTTATAAAGGGAATGCACAACCTCTTACTGGCTTACAGAAAGATAGCCCTTAGACCTTGTTACAGAGATCTAGGGAGCTTCTTAATCTTCTAGTATGGTGAGTGATTTCTTGTAATTTCATAGAACCACAGAAATATAGGGCTAGGAAAGACCTAAAAAAGTTATCGAGTCCAGCCCCCTGCACGGTGGTAAGTAGGGATGTCAAAGAGTAGTCAACTAGGCTTATCAGTTAACCTTGTCAACAATATGCATTTCTTCCCCCTGCTGCCTCTGTATCAGAGGCAGCAGAGCAGGGAGCAGGAGCTGGTGCTGGGAGGAACCAACTTAAAAGCTGGTTCCCCCCAGCACTGGCTCTGCGGTGCCATGTGCCCCCACCCTCCATGATGCTGCCTCTAACACTGGCTGGACAAAGAGCTTGGACTCCCCGCAGAAAGGGGCTACTGCTCTACCAGCCTCTATCTGTGGCCAGCTTTGCAGCAGCCTCTCCTGCCCTCTCTTCCCCCCCACAGCAGCCTCTGTCCATGGAGAGGCAGCAGCACAGCGTAAGCAGGCAGTCGGTTTGTATGAGGAGCTGGTTTTTAAACTGGATCCCCTTGTGGACTGGCTCTCGCCTGGCATCCTGCACTGCTGCCTCTGAATTCATGTGATTACTTGACTATTCAATTAACCAATAACTAACATCCCTAGAGGCAGGACCACTTTTTTTTTCGGAAGAGGCTTTTCCAAAATTTGGCCCATTAACACAGGGTCAAATTTCAGAAAAAAACTCCTCTTTCAGAACATCCCTTATTCCTCTCACTGAGAGGAATACAGAGATGCTGAAAGAATGTGCCCGCTTTTTCGGAAACTGTTCCAAAAAAGCAGAAGCGTTCCCTGGACGCAGCAGAGCTTTTCCGGGATATCCTCTGCAATCTAGACATCGCCTTAGAGCAGCATTTCCCAACCTTTTCCAAATGGGGGCTCATTTTGACAATTCAGGAAGACTTGGTAACTCAAGGCAATTCAAAAACGGGGGGAGGAGAAGGGGCAGAGCCACTTGTCGACCCTTTTGAAATGTAATGGCGACCCATATTTGGGTCCCAACCCATAGGTTGGGAAACCCTGCCTTAGCGTTACAAAGTTTTTCATAATATCTAATCTAAATCTCCCTTGCTGCAAATTACCATAAAATCTCGAATATAATGTATAATGCAAACCCTGACTTTTGAATTTTATCATAATGAAAAAAATCTATACTTCTACATATAATGCACACCCCGACTATTGATTTACTTACTTTTTTGAAAGTCTATACGATTGCTAGTCTATGGGAATAAAATTCAACTTCACATCCGGTGTCCATGTTTATAACTTATTTTCATAAATGTCAGCAATTATCAGAGTTTATAATTATTATTATAAACTATTTCATACGACAAGTAAGACATACATTTCATATTATTCATTGTTTTTAAATATTTTAAAACATTCTAGGAATCTCTGCCATTTCAGTTGATGTTGATTTCATGTTTACTGACGTCTTAGCGTGGCATCGGCATAGTGGAGGTTCGTCATCTTCAGACACAGAACTGCCAAAATAAAACTTTAAACAATAACTCCTATATATAATGTGCACCCCGACTTTGACCCAAAAAAACTCAGAAAAAAAGTGCGCATTATATTCAAGATTTTACAGTAAGTCCATTTTGTGATAGAGCAGTGAATGTCTTATTTGCTTTTAGGGTGTAAGAGAGAACATAGAACATTTACTACCTACACTGGTGTCTGTCTTTTTATAAATACTTCTATATTAGTGGGATGAGCTTACCCATTCTTACTGAAAATACATGATCTGGAATAATAATTATAACTGTATTGATAAAGTGCCCCTGTGCTGTCATGCATGGTAGAAATGAATAGGAAACCCGCATTGAAAACAAATGGCAGGGGTGAAGAACCTTTTTTGGGCCAGGGACCTATGACCCACAGAAAAATCAATTGGGGACCGCATCTAAGTGAGAAGCAAAAAACCAACTAAACAAACCCTCATTAATGTGGCCCCTGGCTGAGAAGGAGAAAGACACTCCATGCCTTCCCCTCACACACCAGAGATTGGGGGGGCCCTGGCTAGAAGATTTTGTGTGCTTCAGCCCTGTTGGGGATGGCAGGATACTGGAGCACCAGCGTAGGCTCCCCAATGCTGGCGGGGGCCCTGAGCCTTGGGGACCAGATCAAAGCAAACCAGGGGCCACAGGTTCCCCACCCCTGCAGTAGAGGGAGAGAAAGAAAAGAATAAACAGAATTATAAAGGCAATTTCCTAAACTTTTTATAACCAGAGGCATCGTGCAGCCCTGTCAGTTCCACAATATGGCTATAGTATCAGAGGGGTAGCCGTGTTAGTCTGAATCTGCAAAAGCGACGAGGAGTCCTGTGGCACCTTATAGA